AATATATATATACATACACACATATGTACATATATCATATCCAATAAGGTAAACGTAAAGGTGCTTAACCAATCGCAATGCAGGGCGCGGTGTGTGCACTTGGGTCGAACAGTTCCACACCTTTTTTTTTTTTTTTTTTTTTTTTTTTTTTTTTTTTTCTGTACTTGTACTTTTCTCGATCAATCAAAAATGATGTTGGGGTACTTGGCGTACTGCTGGGCCCAGGGGTCCACGAGCGCCTCCTTCAGGATGGACATGCCACTGTTCTCCTGGCGCGAATAATGATGGTAATTTTTCTTCTTCTTCACGAACCGCCTGTTCCCGTAGCCGTAATCGCAATACGGCATCATGGGGGTGTAGCTCATGGGCTGCGGATACATGGGTGTTGTAAAGGGGAACGGCGGGATAATCGCCCCGGGGTAGAAGTACGGGGTGTGCATTGTCATCATGGGCGGGGTGGCAGCAACGCTAGCCATTGCCACGTTGGCCGCAGCGACGTTAGCCGCAGCGATGTTAGCGGAAGCGATGTTAGCGGCAGCGACGCTGGGTGAGGCTACGCTGGTCGACGCGATGCTGGCCGATGCCACGTTTGCCGCTGCACCGGCCAGGGATATATCAACGCCATTCTCATCTTCACACGTGGCCAGACTTCTCTTTCTTTCGTTGCTGCTCTGATTCATCGTGTGCTTGGCCCGGGTGACAGGTGCGCTAAGGTCCGCCTGGTCTTAGCTTTTCATGAGTGAGGTGCCCAAGTGGTCCCCTATATATGTAATACAATACGCTTGCGTGCTAAACAGCGTTACGTTAGAAGCGACTTCGCAGATCTGCTCACTAATGTGTACACAGAGTGGTTAACTCGTAAACCTTGTTCAAAACTCTTCAGTGGGTGAGCTAAACGGAGAGAGGTTAGCAGCACCTCCCTCTGTGGACAGGCTCTCTCTCTCTCTTTGTGCTAACTTCCCCTTAACACCAGCACAGGAAGGTTTTATTCAAAAGGTGAAAAAAGGGAAATGCTTCAAAAAAATAAAGTGGAGCATCACACGTGGGGGAAACCTACCTCCCACGCTTATGTCGCGTCACCAAGGTCGATATATATATACATATATATATGTATATATATTTTCCCCCCCTTCCAACAGTCGCTAACGTACACGCAATAAGCGCGACAACACAGAAGAAGGGGGGAACAGGGGCTCTCGTGTCAAGTACTTATTTTTGTTCGTACCTCTAACTGATGCGCAAATTTGGCCAATGCATTTCCAAACCCAATTTGTGTTGAATGGGAAAACGTTTCGCGCTCTCTATGGTCATGTGTTTACGTCACCACGTCAGCGACAGAAAAAAAAAATAAATAAAAAAAAAAATAATTAAAATATAAATCCTTTTTATAACAGTTCATCCCTGCGGACGCGACGCAGATGAGAGTTTCCGGTGGGGGGGGGTCTCAACTGTCGTTTCCAAAAGGTCCGCAAAAAAAAAAAAAAAAAAAAAAAGACCCACACCAAT